GAGAAACCAGAGTCACTAGTGCAGTGATTTAGAGCACACGCTTGCGTATAGAGTGAAATGCAAGTTTGAGTTCGCCTCGCAGTAGTTTTTCAGGACTCATATGCTAGACGTCGACAAATATAAAAACCATTCTCATTCGCTGGAAAAAAGGAACTTTTCACAGGAGCGTTAGTAATTTTTCGAATCCTCGTCGTCGGATTTCCAAAGCACCCTTTTATGACGCGGTGGTATCCAGATTAAAATTTTGTTTCTCACTCGCATTCTGCCTTGATTTTCACGACGCGGATAAATCGCTCGAAGCACTGAAAGCATATCAGCCTGTAGAGGATGTTCCTTAGTATCAGAATCTGCATTGCTATTCAGTCGATGCAGTGAGAATCCACAACCAAATAACATTATTTCAAACGCGATCGATCACCCGCCCCTGCCCTGCCCCCACTCCGTGAGTTAGCCGGTAAACAAAGTTGCTGAAAGAGTTTATAGCTGAGTTAAATGTGAACGGAAGCCATAGCGGCAACTTGCTAGAAAAGTATCGCCTGATCTACCGCGTAGCTCGGTAGTGTTTTAGCACACTATGCGCTAAAGTGGCGTAAACTATTGTCATTTTATTGAGGAATTTTTTAACCGCATTGACAGAAAGTTTAGATAAACACTATGGTTCTGATGCTACGGAAAATTCTCTACACACTGATATGCTCTCGTGCTTCCAGCGACACTCGTGATAAGAATGAAGGCTAAGCAACAAAATTTTATTCTGAATGCTACAGCGTTATAATAGGGTGTTTCAAAAATCGGCGACGTAGAGTTGTAGCCAGAAATTTAAACTTTCGAATGCTTTCTAACACTAGTATAATAGTCCCTATGCAAAGAATGAGATCGTCTTGAAATTGATCTCCGTCTAATATATAAGTACGTTTTGCACATCACTCTACATCACTGGGGATATATGTGACATCATATTACGATTAAAAGCGGTCAAATAGAAAGAATTCGATTCCATCATCTAGTTAGATTCGCTTTTACACGAACCGGACGCAAAGCAGTGCACCCGTTTCGTCAATGTATTCGTCTGCGCATCTCTTACAGGAGATTAGATATATTGAACAATGAAATGCGACTACTGCGGAATCTCTTTGATGCAAACAAGATCAAATGTACGCCCAGTTGAAGAAGTGCGAGTTTGAAGAACTTGGTTGTGTTCAGTATTTGAAGGATCGCCTTTGCAGGAGAAACAGGCGTGGGTCATTTTTTATTGGCGAGTCTTTTAGGTCAAATGCTAAAGTAATCTTACTCTGAAGACTTGAAAATCTCTGGACAACTGCATAGATCAGCTTCAATAAAACTCCACAGCACCATTAACGAAATTCTTAGGAGCCAATTTGACATAAATAATACACCATTAGTCGGGTCACAGTGGCATAACTCTCCCTGACAATGCTCCCTCGATGTGAGGATTAGGCCCAAGTTTCCCATCAGCGCAGCCATTTCTAAGGATTCTTATGCAGAATAGCATGCGATTTGCAGGAACTTCAGATTGATTCCGCTATAAAGTCAGACTAGAATCGTCTAACAATCATGTACAACAAAACATATGGGCAATATCAACACCGCCTTTTCCTCAAGCGCACTTGAGACAACAAATCTCCAGCAACAGACTAATTTTTGCATATTCTCGAACAAAACTCTCAGAATCTTTAACCACTATCGCTCGAAAAGCTTTAGTTCTAGCCTCACAACAGCACAGAAAAATGGTATGTGACAAATACGTGAGCCATTGAAATTAAGGACTATTAGACTACCAGCTAGTGATAAAGGTGGAGGGTTTGTAGTAATTTCTCATCAGTTCGATGTTGAGATGACAAAAAACGCCTTGAAGACACCACACACTGTCGTCATCATTTGAGGAGGAAATCTAAAAACAATATCGAAAGTTGAAAAAGGATTGGGTAGAAATGGCAAGCTCGAAAATTTTTCTCATCTTTCAACTAAAAGTTATTCTACCATCATGTTTCGTCTCATACTTATTAGAACTCATAAGTTGGTATGCACTGATGACCATGCGTCTATTAATTCATCGAGTTCAAAGCTAGACTCATCATCAGCTGTGTGGACGGGTCAACGGATAGAATAACGTGGTTTGTAAGCCCGATACTAGTCTAGTTACTAAAATGCATTCCAGCTCATCACATAAACGCCCCAATTTTTTCGAACGTCTATACACCGTTGTCTTCCAACAACGCGTACGTGATGGAGTTTTTCGACGAGACAGCCCTTTATAAAAATGCGCGAATGAGTCCGCAATACAGGCCATCTGCGAGCTCCTAACAGAGCACAATAGAGCCATAAACATGTTCAACTGTCTCATAAGGGAGGTCATGGCACTCTCAAAAGAGTGCCTGAACCGCTCAATTTTTGGACGGTCCTGGAATTATTTTGCTTGAATCAAAAAAGCTGGCAAGGGGGCAATGAATAGCTCCAACATTTGCTATATACCCTTCATGTTCATAGTGGAAGCCCCAGAAATAGACTTCCCGATGTTACTCTACTGCAGACATACAGATGATTGCCTTGTCGTCTGCTCAACGAAAAAGCAGATGGACAAATGTTTGATATTTGGTCAGAGTACATAAAATTACCCAGCAAGAGCTGAACAGATTGGCCTTGATTTTCGAACCTTCAGGTCAACTTATCCGAGAGCGCCTTCGGCATAAATTGTACCAAAAATCAAGAAATAAAAAAAGTTTGTTACATTACCTGTCTTCTCACCCATCACACACAAAATGCGCAGTTGTCAAAAACATGTTTCGAACAGCTACCAGTGTGTGCACAGGAAAAGAACAGAAGATGTGATCCTAAGCCTAGACAGAATAGCCATTTCCAATGTCTACGAAACTGCACAAGCTCCTCAGGTTGGACTCAGGGAGAATTCGACGCCCATAAACGGAAAGTCTGGCGCAATGAAACTCCATTCATTCTGCCCGTTTTTTTCGAGCGAAATAAGCACAGCTATCGATCGTTGTTTAAAAAGAGCAGGTTTGGGTAATTCTAGCAGTGGCCGCCATACCTCCAAATAAACTAGAGCGCCAGCTGGTCCGTAACCGACTGTATCACCGCCTCAGGGAAACGAAGGGTTGGCAAGCTGGCACAAACTGTTTAGACGGCGATTTTATGAGATCTGGTATAATATACCTAATCTCCTGTAAAACATGCAGGGACGAATACAATGGCAAGACGGATAAACCACTCTGCTTAGTGTAAAAGTACACCTAGCTGGAAACGTAACTCCGACCAATAGACTCCATTAGACACGCATGGGGAACAGAAACATAGAGTACCTACAGAACATAGAGCAATACGAGATTATTACAGTTATTGCTTGACGATATAAAAAAATAGTGAAAATTTATTATATCACCAAAAACATGGAATTTTATGCATAGCTTCGATTTCATCAACCGCGAATGTCTCGAACTTATGTGTAGGCTCGGTTGGTACTCAAGATCGTAGTCCCTCTTCAAATCTCGCTTCAAATGTATGCCAGTAGCAGGTCGTTATAAAGCCCCGAAAAAGCATGCTCAAGTGGTACCAGATAGTATCCACATCGGTCGTCAAGCTTCATGATTGACCGAATTTTTTGTGAGCGAATCTAGCAATAATCTGATAACTCTTTTTTGGATGACGGACTCGGCTGAATCACTCTTATCGCAGATTACAGGACTTCTTCAACTATGACCTACAGACACCATTGATTAACTCTAATCCTTTTCACGTTTCCGCTCCTTCACATTAAATCAAATTTCTTCTGAGGAGTCAATATAGGTTTATTTGATGCCGAAATTTTCAGTTGGCTCATCTGCTGTGATCATCATTAATGCAATCACGTTTGATCGTTCACTAAACGCAACCCTCTTCTTTCCGACGTCGAACATTGAAGTCGAAGAACTGTCGAACATCACCACTATTGTTCCCATCACCTAACACTTTTCGGTAGGCGACATATGTCATGAGAATTTATCACTATCAACAATTTTTTGGTGGTAAATCGTTTTAGCTCTTTTCTAATGGTACAAAAGATCAACGACAAGACGATGCTTGAGTTGTTCAAATGTTGACGAGGTTTCAATGCGGTAGTTCTTTCGTACAACTGCTTGAAATAAATATTTAGTTAAGAGGTTGATATAGAATTTCAGATATAACAATTTTCAGATTTCGAAAAACCTCCAATAAATAGCTAAATTTTCCGACTTAAATATCACATCTGTGAAAGTAGACTACCAGTTGTTTTCCAGTGAGTGGAAAATACGTCCGAGCTTGAGCAGTTTCATTTCTTCACCAGTTAGAATCTCCGCGCGCGACAAATAATACCCATAGGTGTCACATTGTTTTGAGTCCTTTGTTAGTTGCACACATGTCTTACTTCCAGACTTCCTGTAATCAATAGGTATCGCAGGAAGTGTGTAGCAGAAAAGAAATCGTGGTAGTGCTATGATTAGGACGCGCCCCGGAAAGAGGGAAACGCATGTTCAACCCTCACCTTCGAGTCACAGTTTCGCATATCACTCAACAGCATTAATATCCAAAATCTTACCTAACGCAGATACTTTGCCAAAAGGCATATATGGAAGACTACGTTACTGCTACTTTCCAATTAATTTCTCATTTCAAGCGAAAGGCTTTTGCTGTTGGAGAGGTGCGCGGCAGAGTTTGGTCAATGAAGAGGCACAAAAATGGCTCCCCTTTCATTAACAGGCATAACTTGCAGTACGTATGTTTATTGTAAAAACAACTCGTTGTTTTCTAATTCTCATTTGCTGTGATGGCGTTTGAGCAACGTATGGAGTGAGAGGATATCAGAACCACGAGGTAAAGATTGTAATATTTCTTTATAGCCTAAGCAACTGCACTGAATGACAACACCGTATGAATGTCTAGTGCACGAAAGCCTTTTACAAGTGTGCACCAAAAATGTGAGAAGTAATAAGCATGATGGCAGAACAGGAGTGTCGGTGTGCAATTGGTTAACACGTGCCCACGGAACGGGTGGAGTGCGGGTTCGATTCCCGTCTGATGCTCAGTGCTTTGCATAGAAACAATATTGTTGTATACACAAATAATCATACTCCATGTCACCGTGGAAACAGCGGCTGGATAAAGAATGCTTATTGATTAAATATATGAGGTGTATAGCTTAAAAAAAAACGAGCGGCTTGGGGAACGTTTAAGAGCATCGAAGATGTAGTGAAGAGGACAAAGAACATCCGACTCCGTGCCCACATTTTCGACTCGACAATTATCCCTGCCCTAACGTATGCAGCAGAAACCTGGTCGCTACGTAAGCAGGATGAAAGATCACTTGCCGTTATCGAACGCGCAGTCGAAAGGTCGATGCTAGGAGTATCTCGTATTTCGCAAATGAGACAAAGGATCCGAACTTCCGACCTACGTCAACGATCGAAAATCAGAGACGCCGTTCTACACGCCAGGATATCGAAAATAAGGTGGGCCGGACACGTGATGCGCTTCAACGACAACCGATGGACGAGAGCCGTTACCGACTGGATTCCTCGGGACGTCAAGCGCTCTGAAGGAAGACCACTGACCCGTCGGTCCGATTTCTTCACGAAAGCGATGGAAGAAAGATATGATGCTCAGCGAATTCCTAGAGCAAGAAGGACCCACTGGGCTACTCTTGCACGCGATAGGGAAAAATGGAAGAGTTGCTGGTACCCGCTCGAGTCACTCGACGATCAACGGGACGACAGGTGATACAGGTTATAGTTTAATATGGATCACACAGGATAAGAGAAGCGCAAAAATCGTCAAAACGCAGATAGAAACAAGTTTATAGGATGGAGATTACAACAAAAGGGTGAAGGGCAACATAAAACTGTCGAGATTCCCGGCGTGACATCCACAGGCGTCAAGATGAGCCTAAGGAAAAGTAGGCGTCAGCTACTTTGCAACAAAACCAAAAGTGGGTGTGATTGTGAGAACGTCAATTTTGTGTAATGTGCAACAGTACTTACAAGTTTCTGAACGACTTTTTGGCTGCACTGAGTAATTTTCACATCCAATTCATTTTCAGAACTATTGACATCACTGACAAACATTAGTTTCTCAATATGTTAACGATGATAATAGTATAAAAATCAGTGACGAGACAATTCATTGAAACGATTAGAAGAATTTTGACTAAACAAAATCTGCACATATCTCATCCACACAAACATACGCTACACACTTTTGCACAGCTATCCACATTATTGGGTATATTGTAACATCATACCACCGCAAAAGGCGGTCAAATAAAAAAAAATTCTGATTGATTATTGATACCCAATATCTGTCAACATAAGTGGGCTCAATGCCGATAGTGGCTATCCCGCCAGACCGTCGACGGTTAGCTGTTGACAGATAACGAGTTGTAGCGTAAGAAAGTGCTGTGTAAAACGAACGGCGGTGGTGGAACGGTTAGCATACGCTCCCGGAAAACAGTGAGATCTGGGTTCAAATCCAGGCTGACGCAGATGTTTTTGCACAGCACTCCACATTATTGGGTAAATTGTAACATCATACCACCGCAAAAGGCGGTCAAATGAAAAGAATTCTGTTTAAAAATTTATTTTCTCTACGAGAGTAAAAACCTTGTTCCCACATTGAAAAGAGAGCATAAACCTAATGAAGATTAAACTGTTATGTGTAGAAATAAAAGTGAAATAAATGTACCGGACCGAAGCGACTTAAAGACGCCAGTTGGCAACCGATAACGCGAAAAGAAAACGAACAAAAAAAAACCATATATGTAGCGAAAGAAAGATTAATAAGAAAATTACGTATGACATGAGAATAGTAGTTCCTGCTTAATCACACATAACATTGATGATTAGAAATCCGAAATGCACCACATGAAATGAATAGATATTGATCGGTGAGAGAGGAATACAAATAATACGGTGGAATGATTTGAGAGTTGGTCTGAAATACATTCGACATTGCTTAAGTAGAATTCGTAGGGAAGGGAAAAATTCAAAAAACCTATGAAGATATAAGCATTTTTTCCAAGATAATCATGGTTACACTAACGGCTACGTGAAAGATAACAATATATTAGTTTGTGAAAAGTTACACAATACGATGAGGCGGTGCCGCTCGTACTCGCCATGTATTGTCAATTGATCTTTTCGTTAATTACTAAATATCTTCTAATGGATCACTATGCGACTAGTCGAAAGATCGAACAATTAGCCTCAGGCAAATCGTTTACTTCAAACACAAAACCGATCACCATCAATGTTTCGCCATTGGATTGATTCGTGACCACCTAGAATAATCGGAACATTCTTTGATTGAAAGTTCACTGCATAAGCGTACTATGAGATATTAATATTATCGATTACGCTCTGGGTTGTGGAAACCGTCATATATGAAAAAAAAATCCTTAGCTTTTCGTCTCGTCAAATTAATGTGTTCATTGATATTTATTCGCCACAATGCGCTTTGATTTCAAATGTGTAAATCAGAAAAGCGTCTTTCGTACGTATTGGTTTCGATCGCGTGATTTTCAATATCGTATTTCACTACACAAAGCTTTTTGTGGTCACTCAATAAGTTGAAGAAAACACAGATACTGTGCTGGGTATTGGTAAAGAAAAGTTGTAATGTGCACATGGTAAGTGAGTATTCATATATTAGGCGGCGACAAATGTTCAAGTCAATCCTATTCATTGGACAGGAACTTTTCATGGAAGTATTAGTGATCATTAAAAATTATAAATCTCTGGCTACAACTATACGTTGCCGGTTTTTCGAAACACCATTTTGAAACACTGCGGAATCCAGAACAAGATTTTGTTTCACACTCACATTTCGTCTTCATTTTTGTCATACCTATAAATCGCTGGAAGCAAAAAGAGCATATCAGCTAGAAGAGATTTTTCCGTACTATCAAAATATATTCTTTTATTTGAAGTTTCTGTCGATGTGGTGTAAAAGTCCTCAACTGAATAACAATATTTTAAACACTATTGATCGTATTTCCCCACCTCACTGCCCTTGATCCGTGAGTTAGCCGGTAAACAAAGTCGCCAGAAAGCTTCATAGCTGAGCTAAAACGTTACGCGAAGCCACAGCGACGACTTGTTAGTGAAGTAATTGCCTTATTTACCGCGTAGCTCGATAGTGATCTACTGCACTATGCGTTAAAACGCCGGCAACTATTGTTATTTTACTGAGGGTTTTTTTACCGCCTGGAAAAAACTCTAGATAGAACTGCATGACGCTGATACTGCGAAAAATTCTCTAGACATTGACATGCAATTTGCTTCCAACGATTTATACACATGGTACAAATGGAGGCCAAATGCGAGTAGAAAACAAAATTTTATTATGGATGCTACAGCGTTATAAAAGGGTGTTTTGGGAAAACCAGCAATGTAGATTTGTAGTCAGAGATTTATACTTAATGAATCCTTATATTCCCATGGAAAGTTCCTGTCCAGCGAATGAGATGGACTTCAAAATCTGTCGCCGCCCAACATAAAAGTACCGGTAGGTGATATACAACGCAACTGCTTAGAGCGCGTTCATAAGCCGGAAATTTAAGTGGTATTTGATTATTACCCAAATTCTAATGGCCACAATAAATTATAGGTGTTGTATAAAATGTGTGCGATTATAGAAAAAAATACCGAGTGAGAGAGCTCAAGAATCTGAAAATCCAGGCTGGCCACACAAATTCAAACACATGCACCGATGCTTCGATAAAACGGACAACTATGTGCAAACCCCACATAGGTTAATCTCTAACTATAGATTGCTAAGAGAATAGTAGCGGGGAACGCTGGCGTACCTGTAACACCGTAAAATTCTCGAGAACGTTATTCATATAATCTCGTGATTCAAGTTTCTTCAATTCGGAAATGAATTTCACCATGTACTCGCAAATTGGTGACTTCTCCAATCGAAAACAGTAATGACCATTCTCCTTGTCTGGTGAATAAACCTAACAAAAAACAACTGTAAGCACAACTTTATAAATAGGCAAAAAAATCGCTATTCTAGTTTTCAGAAAAGGAGAATAATAAAATCGTTTGGTATTAATTGAGGCCAGCTTTGATGGTTGTTCACCGATCTAAAATCTTTTTCCACAGAAAAGAAATCTATGAGAGTAAACGAAGTGTTTTTAAGAACTGCGAGCTTTTATTCCTCTTCGAAAATTGAGGAAAGCATGCATTTTCGTTTTGAATTGATGAAAACAAACGAAAAAAAAAAGTAAGATTCCAAAGCGAGGAAAAAATAAACAAAAAACCAATACAAATACGTCATTCCCTGGAAGCGTCATTTATTCACTTCTGCCAAAACATACTAGATTTACCTAAACTGATGAAAGATATTTCTTTAATGTTGTGCACGGCCGTCTTCATGCTTAGCGCGGAATTTATACTTAACCTATACACTTGTGCTATGACGGATTCACGCACCTATAAGCCAACCTGAATAGTGGATAAAGAAATACTATGCAGAAAACAAGTTCTGCCCACACGATGACATAACCAGAGGTTAGTTCTAGTGTTTATCCTGTTATAAATAGCATATGTATCCATTTTCACAAATCCGAAGAAGAACATCTTAGGCATGCTGCTGATGCTGTCGCAGTTGATCTCACTTGGCGATCGATTCAATTCTTCCCAATTCGAATACAAATCCTCGTCTTTTGTCGGTATTCAACGGCAGGCAATTCGCATCAGGACCTGGGAAAGGCTGAACATTTGCACACCTTGAACTTGGGTAGTAAACCTTTTTGATAGTTGATTACTTTGATTACCCAAGTCCGAGATGTGGAACTGTTCACTCCCCCCCTCCCCGGTTCTGATGCGAATCACCTGCCGCCGAATGTTGACAAAAGCCCGCCATTTGGAAAGAAATAGGGCAAATGGGACAGCACCAGCAGCATGTCTTACAAGTTTGTCTCTTCGAATCTGCGAAAAGGTAGACATATGCTGTTTATAGAAGGATAAATACTAAAACAGGCACGTTAGGTCACGTCTGTCTGTAAGCAGATTGTGAAACTTGT